GTGGCGATGTAGCGCCCCTTTCTTCGGCCGGCGGAGGAACGTCAACTTGTCTCTGGAACGTCTGGGATCGGATCGAAGCATCGCATCTGTCACGTTCTCAACTCCGCATCTCGACGGTTCAGATACCTCTGCACGGCCTTGCGCCTGGAATCACATGGATATTGACTATAATCCATGGATACCCAGACACGAACGACTAATGGGTGCATACATTGGGTTGGTTGAAGGTTGGGATCCATCCTAAGGGCGGCAGATCTTCCAGTCCCATGAAGTGCTTGGGATATATGGTGTGTTTCTTTCTCGGCACATCATGAACATCTCAAAGGATGCCAAGGACCTGAAAAAGGAGTCCCTTCCCCTCGCTCCCAGCCTAGTGAGAGAGACCTCCCTCCATTTGGACACCACATGGAGGGCAGTTCATGATGTTCGGTGTGTTTCATTGTGGACAGCCTAGACCTGGACTACCAGGTGTGCGCACTGTGTTCCAAAGGAACGAGGGAGCCCTCTGGACTGACAACTATATACTGTGTAAGAATGGATACACAGTATACACTGCCCAAAAAAATATATACTATACAATATACACTTTTTAAACTGTATACACTATATAAATATATACTGCCCTAAGAATCCTTGGACCCTCCAGCCTGGAGGGTGTGGATCCTGCAGGTTCCGCAGGGGGCCCTTTGGAGCCGAACCAAACCTTCACCGAACTGAGGGTCCGTACGATTCTTGGGGTTCAGGGTTTAGGGTATATGTGTACTATATATGTGTATAGTATAAACTGTAGTATATTTGTGTGTACTATTATCTATAATATATACTGTGTATACCAGGACCTTCCAAGCCCGGTGGTTTTTGGACACCCCAAATCACCCCTAAGAGGCTATTTATAGACACCTCTTGGAAGGTCCTGGGCGTTGGGGGTCGCTCTTTGGCTCGCCGTTCAACGCTTCGATCCTCCGCCTCGGTGCTGAAGCTCCTGGGGGGCGGCTGGGCATCCGGCCCCGGTCGTGTCGACCGAACCCGGGGATCGGCACTTGTCGACCGGGGAGGACGCACATGAGAGTCTGGAGTGTTTCACGGGTGAAATCCTTGAGATTGAAAGAAGCTGCTTGAGATTCTGAGTTGCAAATGGTCGCAACTAGGTGCTTCATGGTGTTTCTACCATGCAAAAGATGGAGCAGCAACTGGTGCACCACTAGCGCTAGAGATGTCCCTTATGCATCCTTATTCTGCGTTCGTCTCCGCCTCTTCCCAAAGTCAACACCCTCAGGATGCAGATCTCAGGTCAGCACCCGGGCAAAGACGGATCGTTGGCAAACAAGACCGTCAGGGGCATGATCTTTTGAGGCACTCATCTTGGGTAACTGACCAAAAACCAGCACCCTCCCCCACCATAGCACTTGAGCTTTGGGTAGTTTGAATTATCAAATCGCAGACTTACTTCTGTTCAGCAGGTGATTCGGAGGCTGGCAAGCCCTATGTCAATGGAAATCCGATGCTTGAAGAAGGAGGAAGTGCACTGCTGTACAATGGTGTCACCAGCCGGCCTCTCACCCTCCAACAGGCCCCGCTCCACAACACTTCGCAAAGTGACCCTGAAGTAACTTCGGTCTTAAAAACCGAAGGAAACACCCCAACTTTCTCACAGAAGACGGGGCCCTCACCGGTCACCTCGGGGATTATCCAGAATGGCCAACGGTCACCCGTTGTGTCAAAAACAAAACCAACGGTCACACGGCAGATGCCTCGCCTTCCGTTCCAGGTGAGGTCGTGAGGGCGCACTGCCTGGCCCATGCAGCTGTTCTCTGCTGCTCAGCATGATCTCGTTGGTGTGGAAAAAAGAAGTTTTGCAAACAAATATATTAAATATTGAAAAAGGAGATTCATATGAGGAGGTACAAGACCATCAGTGACTTGGGTGTATACAAATACTTTGAGTGCCGTGTCTTGTTATTTAAAAAAGCACATATGAAAAGAAGCGCACAGGACTCGCCCACCCCTGCGACACTGGGCCGATGCTGTGTGCAAACATGGCTGGGCACGAGTTGGGGAGCCCAAGTCCTGTGCGTTTGGCATGAGTTGGGGAGCTCATGCCAAGACCCAACGACCTTCCACAGCCATCTGCCAAAAGATTGAGATTAACACCTGGTTATATGTGTATATACGCAGCTAGCAAGGTGATTGAAGGACCTCTGATGAGAGCACCATTCTCAGCCTTACTTGTGGGAGCTCCTGCAGCGGCTCCACCAAAGGCGCCGCCCGCTGCCCACGCCGCAGAGGCGGCAAATCGTGGCCCTGGCAGCCAAATGGTGCGACCAGGTGGGGGTTTGTTGGAAGTTATTGAGGCCATGGCCATGTTTTTGGCTATATTTTTTGGGGGGGGGCTCGCAGACTGAAGTCTCGTACGAGTGTCCGATGGTCATGCAGGAGGGGAAATCGGGATCCCTCGGAACGCTGGCCGCCTTCAAGATGTTTTGGCTATGGAAAAGGAAAACATAGAGAATTAGGAAACATATTTATCTCTGCAGTCGTATATCGTATAAAGTTATATATATATACATTATATATATATATTATATTATATATATCTATCTAATATATATATATACAACTTTCACGTGAGAAAGGAGTCCTCTTCCAAGTAAAGGTCCTTTTTTGAAGCACTTCAGCTTGCGGTCATGCTGTCTCACTCTGCGATAGAAATCATATGTCAACCTCTCTCCAGTTGTCCGACCGAATTGGCGCACACATCACTCTCCGCGCGCGACTCGGCGCGCGAATCATGCGGCCGCTTCGCGCCCCACAGCGAGATCTCGGCCTCTCTTCTCCGTCCCCAGGGCCGTGAGACCTGGAGAAAGGCTCAGGGGATGGGCTCGCACCCCTTTGGACCGAGACGAGAAAGCGAAGGCACCGCCCTGCACCGCCCAAGGTTCCGCGACCCAGGTCGACCACGCCCCAAGTCGACCGCGACCAGGTCGGCCGCGCGGAGCGGGAGATTCGTCTTGACCAAGTCTACCAGGCCCTACGAATCAGACCACCCCTAGTAGCTTCTTGTTCCTAGCAGTACGGCCAGGAGCCCCTAGTAGCTTCTTGTTCCGTCCGTAGCGATGCCAGGAGCCCCTAGTAGCGTCTTTGCTCCGTTCGTACATTGATCATCTTGATCAACACCTCTAGGACTCCATCCGACTCACCGCCGATTCCCACTCATCCCACTGCCTCTCGCTCGCGTGAAGCGCTGACGGCCTCAGCGAAGCTCGCGAAGCGCTCCAGAGAGCTGCACCAAAGGGTCTCCATCGTGGCAACCATTTCTCCATGACTCTGCATGCCACCGGCTGTTGAACATACCTTCCACTGCAGCCAGCCATTTCAGTGATCAACAGGCAGTGAACTACTCAGTGATTGACAAACATAGTGAAATGCAGCGAACCGTAGTGAAACGCAGTGAAACCAGCAGCCATCCAGGTGGATTTCACACAGGCTGATTCCTTCAGATCGCATCAGATCCTCACGACCCTCTTTCAGCTCACCCCTTCACTGAGCCGGCAGCCTCCACCAAACGCAGCCCCTTCCTGGAAACAAGGCTCGACTTGAAAACAGGAGGCTTGTGGCAAGACTCAAGGTTTAAACATACACAGAACGTGCACCTGCCGTCCATCCTGCAAACTGTCGGTCGATCTAGTCAGCTGTCGATCGATGATCTGCTGAGGACTGTTGGGGCTGAAGCAAAGCAGTGCAGCAGGGCCCACCGCCCACTGCCCCTGTTGCAAGCCCGATTTCAACAATCTTGCCCTCCTCTGAGTCGGAAGCAATATCACACAATATCACTATTCTGGTTAGATATATATATATTATATATATAGATATAGATATGTATGTATCTTGGAATTGGGCCCTAAACGCTTCCGAATGAACTCATTTCAGGCTCCAGCCGCAACAAGCATAATTATATGACTGACTGAACTACAGCCCCCTTAGCCCAAAAATGACACAACCACCTGGCATCTTGATAGAGAAAGCCCTCATCTTGCCTAAGCCCATCTAAGCCCTAACCATCCCTCACCAACCCTCACTTCAAGTCGTTTCTCCCTCACCTGCTCTGTTCATTGGGGATGGCATGGGATGACACCCCAAGCCGATCACATTCCACCCGACCTCCGACCCGCTCCGCTGCCCCAAAGCTCCGCTGCCCCGACCAGCTCCGCTCCTGTCATCCTCGGGAGGGTCTTCCATGACTCGTCGAGCCGCGTTGCGGCCTGGAGCGCAGCAAGGCAGCGAGGCACAGCCAGAGTATGGTACCATAGAGCGTTTGGAGATAACATAAGTACCACTTGTGGGCAGCCATCCTCCTGGCTAGTACGGTATGCACTAGTATATTCCGGGTATAAAAATCCTGATGTCCAACCAAAATGACCATAAGGGTGCTTTAGATGTACTCACTATAAAGTGACATGCATCAAATGATATCATTAAGATCGGAGGCTCAAAGCGTTCATGCCCTTTCTTTCTGCTTGTTGGAGCCCACAGCTGGGCAGGCGAGTTATTGGGAGGGTAGCAAGACAAGCCTATCTACATCATTGGCAGGAACGCACTTGCTGATCTTGTTGTCGCAAGTCAACCTGGGGACCACCATGTTTTTGCCGCCCGCCTCTGCATGTGTTTGTCATCGCAAATACAGTCTCAGACGGTCTCATGCAAAAGGACAACAAACCCACCGCCCTTCTCCCCGCAGCAGACGGTCTCACGTCGACAGCTTTTGGCACACTTCAAAACGATCAAGGTGAAACGTCGACGCTTGGTCAACCCAGATAAACAATCCAGAGTTGGACCAGGGTGTGTCTCCAAAGACACCTGTAGCGACTACATGTAGCCGCTAGCCCCTAGAAACCTTTTGACATGTCATATGGGTGATGATGGAGCATCCGTCCCTCTCTCTCTCTCTGTGGATCTCTGTTGCTAAGCCAGAAACTGGAGAACCTTTCATCAAAAACTCTTGGTTCAGGGCCAAACTCGTGGACACAGCCCTTAGTCGGAATCGACGCTCCCCACGCTACTCAGGCGGAACTTGGGCTTGTTCTCCTCGTCCAACCACTCGTAGATCGGGTCGGGCATTTCCCTGCGGAGCTTTCACACTATCATCCGTTCGCTTCGTTTGTAGGGAACTCAAACCCAAACACTCCATGCATGGAATATTGACATGCATTGACACCTGAAACCACCCCAATGTAGGCAGTCCCACAGTTCGTGTCTGGAACACATGACTAGTTGTTCACCCTCCCATCCGTCAGTGTGCAGTGTTCTCACTGTCGAACAGCGCCAGGTCCAGTCCGCCCATCCCTCCAGTCCAACAAGACCCGAACTTCTGCGATGTGAAACGGCCAGGGCTGACAGGACCGACACAGAACCACCGGCACCGGTCAAAGGCAATCCGACGGGATCGGGGGATCGAGGGAATGAGTACAAGACGTGGAGATGTAGCATGTCCATGGAGTGATCACAACATGGACTAGAAAAGGACCGTGCATCCAAAATGAGAAACATCTCACGGAAGAAAGAAGTATACACACATTCTATCGATGTTGACAGCATCTATATTTGGGATGATCATACACCTGTCCAGTTCTTCCTAGAATCCTACAATACCAGCTCATTGTTTCAACACGCGCAACTCGTATCAGGCGCGAAACATTCGCCTCGGCCAGTAGTTTAGCCAGGGAGACATGGACAGCATGGCTGGAACCACCAAAGTCCGCACTAAGAAGGTATCCTCGGTGGTCCAAGGCCATGATTTGTTGTTCATGCTTTTGGAGTAGGCTGTGAAGTAGGGCATGGCTCTTGGAATCAAGTGATGACACTGCGCAACAGGGTCTCTGAAAGCATTTGCGACGTCCGCTTCCCAAAACTGGACGGCGGCGATTCACTCCCTTCCACGTCTGCTAGACCCTTCCTCGGACTTTGTAATTGTTCGGTCCACATCCTTGTGTCATTGATGGTCATATGGCCTCATGGCTAAAGCATCTCCTGCAGCGCCTGAGATCCTCTACATTGTGCTAGAGATAACTACAGCTCACAGTGAGTATCAGTTCCAAGGTGGCAGGTGAACCAACCTGTCATCAATTGTCACGAATTGCATATGTCCAACCAGGCTCTACCACAATGCTGAACACGAAGACAAAGCCCTGCTGGTTCATCATTGGTAGCTCCTTGGCCAATGGTTGCAGTGCAAAACAAAGCTCTGCCCCTGGAACGAATGATCTACTGGATGTGCTCACCGCCTACCATAGCCACGAAACGAACTAAATCCATGGATTTCATCCCTTCGGGTATCAAACCGACCAAAGTAAACCAAGATCAATGATACCCTTCAGATTTGTAAAACTCGTTTCTATTGAATATGACATACTGGTGGGGCCTGAGTTCTATTCTTGCTGCACCAACACAAGCTGGTGCTGATGCGATTCCTTGCCTATGGGGGGTGTCGCATGTGGATCAAGCTATACAAATCAATACGCGCACCCCGAAAAAACGACAGACTCACCGTTTCTTACCGCTTCCCATTCCGTTCCAGCCTTCAGGTTCTCCCATCCCAAGGGTCTCCCCGCAAGGAAGCCGACCACTCAGATGCTCAAAACCCGAGCGGGATTTGGTTCGGGTCCGGCCTCTATCTTCACGGAGGGTCCCCAATGCCCTTTGTTCCTAGTAGCGTCCTTGCTCCTAGTAGTGAGGCCAGGAGCCCCTAGTAGCGTCCTTGCTCCTAGTAGCGATGCCAGGAGCCCCTAGTAGCGTTCTTGTTCCTAGTAGCGTCCAGGGTTGCGTGTAGGCACCCCAATGATACTTCTCGAAATGCTGGTTCCGACCAACAAGGCACCGACGTCAGCACCAGAGCCAGGAAGGTCAAGCCCAGGATGAGCCCCGCTGCAGAGATGGTGCCCCCAGTCGCCTCAACGGCCAAGCAAGGAACACAAAGCCTAAGCAGAGTCCTGGTGGAGTTACGGTCCCCCGACACGACATGGAGGAGGTATCATGAGGTATCCATTTCAATTGAGTACCAGGAGCATCCTGTTGGGGTGTCCAATGGAAGCCCACAAGTATTGTAGGGTGGTCTATTGGAGACCCCTTGGATGGTCCAGGTATGTTTATTCTTATTTTTTTACATGTTTAAACCACAGTCTGAGCCAAAGGACCAACAAAACGTCGATGGATCCCACCCACACGCGGGTGCCACGCCAGCTCTGGAGGACCCGCTTTCTGTTTCCAGCGGATGTTTCCACCCAAGCGGCTGAGAGGCCCAGCTGGATGGCTTCTCGATCGCCAAAGCCCTGCGACGAAGCTGCGGATATTTCTGCGGACCGGTGAGGAAGGGGAATAGCCCCCGCGTGAAGCAATAAAGAAAGGGGACCAAAAGCTAATCGGTCGAAGACATGTGCAGACTGTTCACGTGGTTGGGTTTTCTGACTTCAGAACTTCCTGGCCGCTGGTGTTGTTTCGATTTATGTCGATTTCAGTTCTCTGCTCAACAGTGCCACATGGCCATATATTTCTTTAAAGCGGGGATGTGTTTCAGGGTGCAGGTGTGTGTGCGTGTGGCGCGGCTACACATTCCAGCACTGGCGCTAGAGTTGGATGTGTCTCATCATCTTTGGGTGGGCCATAAGGTGCACACATATGCTTACTATTAGGAGCGATCGGACGCTACGAACAGGGCTCCTGGCCTTACTACTAGGAGCGATCGGACGCTACTATACGGGCTCCTGGCCTACACATCCTTCACACTACTCCTGTGCCGAACTGGGCATCTTAAGACGGCTCGACCTCTGAGGACGGGGCGCCCGGTTCGACATCTCCAGTTCCATGTGCCGAAAGAACGGAGGAAGACGGGGCGCCGACCTGATCCACTCACTTGTTTAAACACCACCCCGACCTAACATCTAAACACCACCCTGACCTGGAACTCCTGATACATCTGGAACTCCTGGGTCTTTCCTTTCGTCTTCTAATGAAGGAATTCTCCACTGCGCCGAAGGGGCATGCCTTCTCCAAGGTGTCCCTCACCCAATCCATCACGTGTCTGGTCTTTCCGAATGGTGGGGATCCGGCAAACATGAAGACCAACAGCATCCAACAGCCCATTTGGGCTGGACAACAGTGGAACTGGACCTGTAGGGCAGGAGGACCTGAACCTGAATCAAACTCCATTTTTTGGATGAGACAAGACCACCCGCTCACCCCCAGTTTCTTCAGAGAGTTTGACCCTTCCAGGGTGGGCCTCGAATAGGGTTGGGGTCTGGATGGGCGTGCATTCGACACCCATATACATACTGATGCTCCTGGTACCCATTTCACATCAAAAATCAACCACAACCCCCCAACCCCCCACCCCTCCAACAAAAACCATAAAGAAAGCGGCGCCGCCCCGAAAACCGATATCCAACATGTGAAGGTCATCGTCAGTCACTTCTGTGTCGTCTCCTCCAGGCGGAACTCAAAGACTCGCTCAAAGAGAAAGAAATCGTAGTCGAGGGCCAGGCCAATCAAGAAGGTCAAGCTAAAGACCGGCACCGTCCAATCCTGATGGCGGCTTTGACTGATCTGGATGGCGCACCAAGCCCTGCCGCTTCTCTCGATCTGATGGATCCTGGTTCGGTTCGTGGATGTTTTTTGTTGGATCTTTTTGTTGCTTGTGTTCCCAGTTGGTTTTGGCTCTTATCGTTGTAAAGTAATTTATATATATAGTATGTATATAATATATCATAGGAAGACCTGGAGTAGACCCGGAGTAGACCAAGACACTTTGCTGAAACCGTTGGAAACCGGTGGAACACCGTCTTCAACTCCGTTGAGCCTCATCGAAACACCGAGCGAACGCTGCTTCGACCAGCTTCGTACGGGATGGAAGAGTGCAGACAAGTAGACCTGCAAGGCAGCCCTTGGCAACAGGAGATCAAGTAGATGACATTATAATGATCAACTCGCAAAGAAAAAGCTTCACTTTTTTGCTGTTCGTTCTACCTCCCCCTCCCACCGCATCCGTCCGCCTACGTTCTCGCCTCGCGTCCGACCTACGCATCCAAGGTTCCAGGCCATCGTTCTTGGTCGGCGCCAAGCCTCTCTGGAGGCTCCGGGCTGTCCCAAAGCACCAGAAACAAATGGTTGTTCCAAATGTTCCAATATGGCTTGAGATCCTTTGCGTACGGACGTTGATGGGACTGGGGAGTTCCATCCATTTGTTTCTGGTTGGAACTTCACTGTCCTTGAGTCAACGAGTGGAAGATCCTCCTCCGGTTGATGCGGCATGCTCTTGACAGCCTCTAGACTCTAAACAATGGTGGGCCTCTGGGCCATTTTCGTGCAAACTTTTCATGCAAACTCTATATGGGCTACACTCCCTTGGCTTTGGAAGTGCTGGACAATGGTCCCCTTGGCTCCGAAAGGAAGATCGTGAAAAATCCCTAAGACGAAGCCGAATACCAACCCGGTGAGCTCACTCCACGAAACGATTCTTTCAGGAGCGGATGATCTTTCTTTTCACCGGAAGAGCCACCACCACCTGCTAGATCTTAGGGAAGGAATTCGGAAAGGCTTCGAAAGTCTGCCTCCGTGAAGGTCTCGTGGGGGAAGTCTTTGGCGAACACTGAGACCATGGCAAGTGGGTTTGTCCAACAGGTCCTATGGCAACAAAGTTCTAATTATATAACTTATGCTCTGACTCACCAACATGGAAGTGCAACATCTAAAGGAAAAACAAGAAAAGTAGTTTTCCAAGGGACCATTTACCACTTCCATGTGATGCGTTCGTCATGTCGTGTACATCCATCATCCATCCGAAATCGGACGTGGGTACCACTTCCTTCGGCCGCGGCCGAGAACACCACCAGCGACCGGGCACCCGACCCGAACGCCAACCGGACCCCTTTTCCGGATTCGGTCGTTTCTCCAAGACCAGTGTCATGTCTGACCCCAAAGACAAAACAGCGTGCGACTCGCAAATTCTCTGTGGACACCCTGCTTTTCCTTGGCGACGGACTGAAAACTAATCGCCTGGGGTGTGACTCATCCACCTGCCATTGGCGAACGAACACGCTAAGACCGACTCGTCCTTACTTTGGGTGAACGACACGGTCGTTAGAGAAGTCACACAGACCAACCAGCTTCAGGGCCCCCCCTCTTTCAGAGTGGTTGTTCCTCGAGACTCGAGACTCCCAGTGCTGGTGGCTTCGCACGGGAGTTCTTGGGTCCTTCGCCGCCGCGAACCGGTTCGGTTCGCCTGGAATGCCCAGCCAACTCAGCGCGCCGTCCTCGTAGACGTAGAAGGCTGCGCCGTAGGTCCAGGTTACAGGGACCACCACCTGGGCTGCGGCGTTTCGGTGCAACTAGAGGGAGGGAAGAAGATCCAAATGAGAAGGAGTGAACAGATCAACGAAAAGATCACTGAGAACACCTTGGCTCCGTCCCAACGAATTGAAGTTCCGAGATATCAACATAAGGGAAAACCAACTGACTGTGCCCCTGAAGCGTGTCACTGAGAAGATCATCACCGACCCTAGGCCGTTGAGAAAATGAGAACGGCCGCGTCACAGTGATGAAGAGCTTGAAAGGCACCAGCAAGGCGTTGAACCAAAGGGCGATCAACGAAAAACAAATCAAGACCTGAGCGGTCCAGGGGCGTTCAGCGCCTTGAAAAAGGCGGTCATGGGCCGTGACCCACGTGGAGCCCTAGTCCAGACCTGGGTAATTATGTCAAGCAAGGTATCCTGGTGCCATGAGATGTGAAGAAGATATTTGCATATTTATTTGTATGGGTTTCGATCATTTGGGCGCTCCGCTTATGTATTCTAGGCTGGTATTGGCTTTGTTTGGGAATTGGAATTCCGCGTTCTTCAGCAAGTTTCTTTGCTGCATCGAAGTAAGGAAAAAAACACCGGTGTCACCAATTGTCTCTTGTTTCCAAGATTAAGGTTTTAGTTATAACTAAGTTAATATTAATTTGGATAGAAATTCTTGTAAAGAAGAGTAATCCGCTTTTGGTAAAAGGCCGCATATAAACTATCTTAGTCAAGCCTCAAAAGACGCGATTGATAAAAGCGGAATAGGTTATGACGGCACAAGAATATATATATATATAGCAATGCATAAACTTAGCAATTGGGCTGGCAATCAGATTGCAACAGAATTTAGCTCCTGTACGGATGAAAAAATTGCTAGAACAGCTGTTGAATGTCCCACACCCAAAACAATTTGCAACTTCTCGGGCATTCTGGATGAAGTTCTGGACATTAAAACAAATCCTTGTAAGGTTCTTCTCTCCATCCGGATTAGGTTCAAAACAACTGAAAACATGTCAAAACCAACACACGCACTCAAAACCAGGAATGACAAAGGTCGGGTTGCCTGCATCGGTGATTCTATTGTGAACTCTCAGGAGTCTGGATGTGTTTTTATCGATGCCTGGATGTCCCCTTCGATTGAATGAAACAGTCACCCGTTCCCGATTTCGGCTCAAGCTGAGAAAAAGGAAGCGCGGAGAGCCTTTGGCTCAAGTTGAACCAAGGGCTCCAACTGATCCAAAGGCTCCAACTGCACACTGCTCGCTTGGGCTGAAAACCTTTGAGCCAATTTGAAGAAACCTCTCGAAGCCCGCCGGTCCTCTCGGGTGTCCAACGCCGTCCCTCCGTCGGTCTCGGTCTCAAGTGGCGCAAACCAGAAAGCACCCGGGCAAGGCTGAGGAGGTCACCTGAGACGATCTGAGATTGGACGGATCGGCTGAAGTGGACTGGAGAAGACATACCCAGACACTGTCTGGGACTGCAATCGGACTGCCGCCCCAGCCAGACCCCCTTTCAACCACCCCCAAACGTAATTAGGCATATATGGTAGTCCCCATGTGTCGTGTCTGGGATACTGATTTGTTGGACAAATCGGATTTAAACCATACGAGTCCGACTTGTTCCATTCTAACCTGGTTCCTCCGGCCCGATGCCGCTGCACGTCTTCACGGATGCCTGACCGTTCTTTGAGTTTCTTGTGCTTCAAACGGTGCCTGACCTGAATAGAATTGACTCATGCAAATTTGAGCAAGTCCTAGCTTTCTAGCAAATCAATCCTAGCCTAGATTCAATATCATGTATCATATGTCTGACCATTTCCGTTCCACTCTGGCACTTCGAAAAGACCATCGGAATCTGCCTGCCTTTGGCGTGGGTTCCGTGTCCATCAGCGACCGTTGTCAGCACCGTTCGGGAGCGGAACCGGTCGACCAGGCGGCGTTGATGAGATCGGTCACCACCGCAGCCGGAGAGAAGGTGAGATACCTGGCGACAGGCAGCGGGCACGTCGTGTGATGACTCCATGTCGTTCATGGTCACAAGATGTCACGACTCCGTAGATTCTAGACAGGCTCAAGTGCTGAGAGATAGATAATTTATTGTAATTTAACATTCCCTTTTTGCCGCTTGGTGGAGCGCTTGTGTAAAGAGATGTCGCAGTGGTGTAACACTATCACTACATATCACCAGCATCAGGTCCAACATTCGGTCTTAAGACATGACTGACATGACTCCACTGCCAGGCAAACATTTTCTAACAAACCATCTCCATCTGGTAGTTTGGTTGGCCAACAATTCTTGGACGAGGGGAATGGCGAAAAGAAACCTCTCAACACACGCAGATTTCAGTCTTTGATCCCAAGAAATCACTACCAGGGCATGTGAACCGGGATCACTTGCACTTGGTAGATAATACTAAATAATCCTTGTTGTGACCACCACTGAAGTGGCTGCCTTCGTGAGCCTCACCCCGAGATCGCGCACGTGCCGAGATTTGCCTGAGCTGTGGGATCGTTGTTTGGCCACGCCGTTGCATCTCTTCCAAGACCTCCTGGCGATTTTGAGGAACTGAAAACTGGGACTTCGAGCTGGTGTGAAAGATGATTGATACCTCCACTGGAGGGCTAGGTGCTTGAAAACATTATAGGGAATGAGGGTGGCCGGCACTGTAGATCCCTTTGGATCCAGCCACCGTCAGCAAGCAATGCAAGTCGTACCAGGTGAAGGCATATTGAGGAGGATTCAACAGAGGATTCCTGCTTGGACATTGGGTCAGCTGGAAATCACCTCGGACAACGCAGCACACGGAGAAAAACGCACACGGTCGAAATTTAATTCAATTCGTTGTGAATGCATATCATGAGGGGAAGTGAAGTGAGAAGCCAGCTTGTAAAAATGGTCACCTGTATATATGGAAAGTAGGCCCTTCACTGGCCCTTCTGAGTGTTGCACGAATTGCTCTGAGGGACGTGAGTGACTTCCCACCGAGCCGCTCGACATCACCGACCGACCCGCCCAGCGAACCGCCGAAGCGACAAGGGTCCAATGACCATGCCCAAAACAGATTGGGGGGCCCATGCAAGGTATATCCATACCATTGCTCAAACAGGCTTCCCACTTGAACATATCAATTGGACATTGAACAAACAAAAGCCCACAAGGACCTGAAACTCCCAAACTGCATTCCCACCCCCGTGCCCAAAAAACACGCAGCGCACGTCCCCGCGCGGGCGCCGCGCGAACCGAACCATGCCGCATCCCCGCGCCTGAATCCTTCGCTCCAGATCGAAGGCTAAAGGTCCCAGCGGATCGATGGCAGGGTTCACCACCGTCAGCATGGCATTCTTCCGGACCATCTCCTGTGGCATCGCGACCGAATCGCCGTCGAACCGTGGCGTCGAACCGGGCGAAGGACCGGCGACCGGGTCCGAGAGACCTGAAGCGGACGGGCGAACTGGGCGGTGGTGGGAGTGGTGGGAGTTAGGTGATGAGTGGCTCTAAAGACGTCGAAAAACGGCGCTGGTCGAAAACTTCGAACATGACCACTGAGCTACTGAGCAAGGCTATGAAAGCACATGGTTAGGCTTGGGCGGTAGGATGCCTCCGCCCTAGACTTAGTGGTACGGCGAGAAGCCTCTCTGCATGCTCACCAAAATCGGTGCATCCTGCCACATGACATCCAAGTGCTCTGAGGTCTGTGTCAAGAGCACGTGCCGCGCGAAGAAGCTCTTCCGGACCAGGTTCATCTCGTTCAAACTGGGGCAAACCAGCTGTCCAAATAGATCCTGTGAACAACGGGGTATATCAGGGCTAGGCCAGGAAAGGGTCGAAATGTCTGAATGAAATGGATCTGTTTTCCTTCTGATTCTTCTATGGAGGCACCTCGCACGGAGCGACTCGGTTATCCTCCAGCGGCCAAAAGTATAGAAGTTCGAGACACACCCCCAAAGGCTCCATGCAAAGGAGCTTTCTCTCACTTGTAATCTGCTACTCATCTCACTATATAAGACCTTCTTCCACCAGGGGTGTACTATATGTTTGCGCAAAAAAAAACGACAGGATGCTCCCCGGTTCCCTTATTTATTGTTTTTCCCCCATGGGCGGGCACCTTGAAGACCTTCTTGGCAAAGGGCCCCGAATGGATATAGCTCTTGTCGATGGGCACGCTGGGCGTCTGGAAGGACTTCGCGCCCAGCGCGTAGGGACGCCCTGAGGTCTCGAAGATCAACGTGCGGATCATCTCGCAGTTCCTCAGAGGTCTCGCACGACGCACGACGAGACCGACGTGGCCGCGCACGTGGCTGCGCATGTGGCCGCGGCGTGACGGGAGTCCAGCGTGGATGGGCTTGGGCGCCCCGGCGCCCCGAAAACACATGCGTTGGGCTGTTGAAAGCTAATTTATTAGGCCGGTGTCGGAAAGGGTCCAGCCAACTTCTGGGAGATTGGTTCGCCTCAAATGTTGCATTCAGAGCAAATATGCCTCTCAGTTCGTTGCTGCAGGCCACATGCCATATCTTCAACAAATCCCGTCGATTGCGTTGTTTGACCTGTGGTTGTCGACCGTATTTGCCGGTAGAAGCTACGGATGCTTCCCTACTGCTGAGGTAGGATGCTTTCCCACTGCGAGTTCAGATTCAAACACAAATTTACATTGGTTGGTCTTCTTTATGCCTGTGAATCTTACACCCCAAACGAATTGTTTGACACAATTTGGTCTATTTTTCGACTGGGACCTGTACAGTCCATTAAAGACACCCAGCCACCAACCGAGCTGAGCCTCAATCGAAAGAGATTTTCGTTCACCAGTGGTGCAGAGACTGTCCCAGCGCTCTGTGCAAAATCGTCCACGGCGTTGGTCGCAAAAATGAGCACCGGCCTGAGAGAGAGAGAGAGAGTGAGTGAGTGAGTGAGTGAGTGAGTGAGTGAGAGAGAGTGAGACAGACAGACAGACAGACAGACAGACAGACAGACAGACAGACAGA